GCTGTAGGGGACTCAGGTCAACAATTTCTGACATTGCCAGTCAAGCGGAAGACCCAATACTATTATGGGCTACTGAACTCTTTTAGAATACTTTGCTGAGTTGGCACACCTATAACATTCAAATAATGGAACTTAACCAAAAAAGGGTACACAGATGAATGTCCATTTTGTATCTGTGTATTCAAAGTGGTTAGGACAGATATATAGTTACATTCTCTTAATGAATAGAGTGATTTGTTCCAATGGTGTTAGGATATCATGTCCGCATCTTGTACAGCAATTAACCACTAGGAGGAAGGTAAGCAATGTGTTAATTATTGAAACTGTCCTCCCAATTTGATTTGAAAAACAAACAAAAAAATGAATTAAACATAGTACAATCAGATAATTAACATCAGCTCCAAAAAGTTCAAAATAACTGGTCAGAACAGCTATAAAGAATGATAAACTTGAAGAATTTATATTTAAGTGGATGCCTCTTGAAGATACACTCATAAGTGAAATAAACCAGACCACACTATTAAATATCCTATAGTCTCCCTAGTATAAGAAATCAAAAGAAGAAATACAAATAGAAAGGTATAACACAACTCAAAGGAAAGCAAGAACTTGAGGATTGGACAATGAGGAGAGGGCAAGGAGAAAAGCTAGGGGAAAAAAAGGGATTGGAACAAAGTCATACATTTATATGCACAAGATGGGCAAGACAATGATCCTAAGAATCACCAGCAGGTTTTTAAAATTAGCAGTTAATTGGTAGGATTCTCAACTGACAAACTGTACATGTTGATACCTGTGAAACAAGCAACTGCCCTGAAGATAGCAATGTGTAATAGAAGGGTCACGCTTGGAATGCCTGTCATTCTGGTCTTCGTACTTCTTGTCACAACATACCAATTATTACCATACTGTCTCAAAGTAAAAGTTTGGGTTTTTTTTAATGGGTAATAATTAAAAAAAAGACACAAGAAAAAAAGTGTCACAGGACTGTTCTGCTACAATGCTGTATATGGTTAGATTTCTAAATTTCTGTGTAAAATATGTGTTTATTCCTATTTTTAAATTTTTCCTCATATTCTGTACACTTAAAGTTCAATACATGAATGATGGAAAATACCTGTTGCATGTTATGCCTAAGATGTTTGATATTTAGACAGACTGTGAGAGTAAACCGAACTGCTTATGTTGCAGGAGTGTAATAATCTTCTCTTCTGGAGGGTTAACAACCTAAGGTTGCAGATCAAAAATTGGAGAAAAGTAAGATCTGCAAGATCAGCAAATATTTTGGCCCTAGCCTTTCAACGTTAGTGAAGACTGAGGACATAGGGAACCTGTAATGTAACGTCATGTAACTCAGTAGTGTCCCAAATTTTCTGACCAAGGAGATTATGGGGCCAAAGAGGAAAGTGATAAATGATGTAGAGTGTGCCTAAGGAGAGTCACATGGAGAGAAAACTTCCTCTCAGGCTTTTACAGTAAGCAAATTGCTCAAGCATTGGCCGTGACTCATCCACATGGCTGACACTGACAAAGAATCTGCAAAGTGTGGTACCAGGTTACAGGAAAAATCCTGAGGGGACTTGACTGACTTTATCAGATAAGAAAACTACATTTATTGTTATATAGGTCTTGCTTTGTCTTGCTCTTAACCATCCAGAAGAAAAGTATAAAAATGAGGTATATAAAGTAAAGTCATATTAATATGCTGAGCTGTAAAAGGCTCCAGTCAACAACTTCTGTGGATAACCCACTACTAGTGTGTACTGCTGGACTGCGTTGGATTCTTTTGCTGAATTGAAGCACCTACAGCATCTAGATGCCAATAGAATCTCCATCTCTGAAAAGACAAATCAAAAAAAGGGGATAAAAGTAAGGACCATTTTGGATTTGTATATACAGAATAGTTAGGATAGATATACAGCTACTTTTGCTTAATTCAATGAGAAGATTTGTAGAAATAGTGTTTGGACAGGATATCCTGTCTGCTTCTTGTACTATGGATAATCACTAAGAAGATAACAATGTACAATGTACTAATTATTGAAAATTTCCTATTAATCAGCTTTGAAACTGTCTCATTGATTTTTTTCAATAAAATAAAAAATAAATAAAAATTGATAATAAAAGAACACAAAAGAGTACAGTACCTTAGAAATGATTATGGAAATGACTTACAAGACATCCTTGATTTAAAGCATCTTGTAGTGCAGTAAGTAAGAATGACAAGTAGCCAAACTTCTGAAGTAAAATATGGCAAGAGATTCTGAAGACAAATGAGCTAATGGCACATGAGATGAGTCTTTAAGTGTACTTTCACGTTCAGTAGATTTTGTCTGTTTTGAGGGGAAAGGTGTATTCTATTTGAAGGGCAAAGCACTAGTGAGTATGAATATAGAGGAACATAGTATTCATTCATGAATGAAGTACAT